AAAAACATCATAAACTCCACATACACCACATAGCAGCAGCGGCTGTACTACATCAAATCTGAACACAGAAGACTCTTCAACAGTTCACTAAGATTTATAAGCTCTACGCCATCCGAAATATGATGCCTTTCCTTGGAAACCTTTTACTGCGAGAATACAATTACAGTCAAACTATAGCGACTTTGATCATTGGAGTTTCACGACGACCCGTTTTACGCGAAGTGGCGTAAAACTCCGTGAAAAACGCAATATTCGCGGCCTGTAATAGTCGTGAAATATCTTTTTCACTAGCAATTGAATCACGGAGTTTCACCACCCTAGTGATATGAAAAAATAAACATTAGTGAAAAATATATTTCACGACAACTGCATATCACCGCGAATATTGCGCGTTTTCACCGAGTATTACGACGCCACTCCACGTAAAACGGGTGGTGCAACTCCAATAACGTCATTACCCCAACAGAGAAGTAAGCTCAGCTTCCTGAAAACAACTACCTGTTGTAATACAAAGGGAACCGCACATAGAAATCCTCATCGCCGTTGACCTTGATAACACCGCTACCACGTTGCAACACTACCTACATAGGTAAACCACACGTGTTGATGACAATGGAATTTCACCGCCCCAGTGATATGAAAAACACTAGTGAAAAACATATTTCACGACTACTGCATTCAGCGAACATCTGGTTTCCACCGAGTTTTAAGCCACTTAATATTAGAAACATATTCGACATTTTATTTCGCGAGAAACACTTGCGAACAAAGAACAACGCGTAAAACGCGTGATGTGTTTTACGTAATGTGTGGTCATTTGTCCGATGTAATTCGCTTTTTCACACAGAGTATTACACCACTTCACATAAAACGGGTGAAACTCCCCAGCAACTCACATGTGCAGTAGCCCTTTTCCTCAGGCCTCGTCCCTCAGCCCTCTCTTTCCACTCCTCACCGTTATACACGAACGACCGAGCTTCCTTGGGGTTAGTAGTAAACGCTCTCACCAGTTTATTATGGATCACTGAGTTCACCTAAATTTTACGCAGAAGTTTCACCCGTTTAACGTGAAGTGGCGTCATACTCAACTTCAAGAAAATTCAAGACGTTTATTTTTTCGTGACTAATGACTCCACGATTTAAATTATGGAATATATTTTTCATATCACTAGGGGGAAATTCCACAGTGTTTAACAAATATCTACCAATTTTTTTAGCGTCAACACAATAACAATGAAAATCGATTAGCACAGTTTCACCAGTGTTCTCTATATTTTATTTTTACTACCCAAGACCTGCTATACCATAACTCTATAAAATCATACAATTGCTATTGCATGACTTGGGTTCGATATTGGGGTTTCGCCCTAGTGATATGTAAAACACTAGTGAAAAACATAGTTTACGACTACTACAGCCGAAGAATATCGCGTTTTTCACCGAGTTTTACGCCGCTTCACGTAAAACGGGTCGTGAAACTCCAATATATAACCACACAGCATCCGACGATATCATTGACAGTATCAGAGCAAAAACTGGGGTGAAAAATCAGAAAAAAAAATTGAGAAAAAACAACCTTCCGGACAGAGAAAAAATCCAAAAATAATCAAAAAATCGATCAAAACTTCAAAATGGTGTAGTTCAACATTGGAGTTTATGTGATGTGGCGTAACACTCCGTGAAAAAAACCGATATTGGCGGTGATATGCAGTAGTCGTGAAATATATTTTTCACTAGTGTTTTTCATACCACTAGGGTGAAACTCCAGTATTACAGCTGAAACTGGGGTAAAAAATCAAAAAAATTTGGCAAAAACAACCTTCCAGACAAGAAAAAAACAAATTATTATTGAAAAATTCGATTAAAACTTCAAGACACTGTATTCATGGAAACATCACCAGAGCCCATTAGTACTACCGTATCGACCTTTTCCTCGTCCACCTCTTGCTCCTCAGCCGTTCCCTTCTCCTCCTCACCAACATGCAATACCTCAAACTCCTCCTCTGCTTTTTTGAAGCCCTCATCCATAGAATTGAAAAAGTCCTCTAATACAAAAGGAGCCGCCGAATCCGTTGAAAATGAAGGCGACTTCATAACACGCAGCTGCATTTCCCTTGTGGTGTATAAGCCCATCTCAGTCGTCAAATACAGCGCTTGATTGAGACTCAACGGCTCAGCATCTTTTCGAATTTTCTCCTCCGCCGCTTCAGCCTCCTCACCGTGTGCTGCTGTGCACATAGATCGCATCGTGAAAATTCGACAAGATCTACACAATGCTAGTCGCTGGACTCTAGGTATCAACATGTAGTAACAAAGCAAACTAAAGCTGCGGGAAAGAACCGACCACTTCTAGACGATTCCATTTTCTTGAAAAAATCACGGAATTTTCGATTCCCTTTCCAACGAGGATAGTTTCTCTCTGAAATTGGAGCTTCGAGTGCTATAGCAAGAGGAATGGATACAGTTGATTAACGTTTCACCTTAGGAATGGTACCACCCCAAACGTGTATAATTTAGTTTCCACTAAAAAAAAGAAAAATATATGATAATCATAGCCGTTTCATAGATATCTAGGCAAGCTCGATTGTCAAAACCACACCAGTTCCTCGAGCAACTTACAACCATCACATGCCAAAGCGGATCCATTTGAGCGGTCCTGAAAAGTCTATCGCCGTCACCAGGCTTATGCATCTTTAGTCACATAGAAAATGAGGAATTTCTATAAAGGAATTTTCCTTCATAGAATTTATATGGAATTTTCTAGAAAATTCGGGATCATTCTTTTTCAACCACTCCTACACTAAACCGTAGATAAAGTGCCACAGCATAACGAGAGAACTCTTCGAGAGAGCGTTTGAATATACATTTGACCTCCTCAGCTGAGCTCGGGAATACTTAGAATACAAGTGTACAAAAACCTACAGAAACCACCTCATACTCGTCGGCACATGTAGTTGACCTCACGCGTATTTCCCAGACTACGCCGAGAGAAACCCAACGCATATTCTTAAACAGTCATAAATCCTGAGACCAGTCAAGGTATAATCCGTTCGACAAATTCCGGCAGTTGATCGAATAAACTTGATTCGAATCGATCATTTTAATTTCGTCATGAACTGTCTCCAATTTATTTATCACAATGACTTACCATACCACTCATCGATCGAATCATACGAATGATATCATACCACTCCTCGATCGAATCATACGAATGATATCATACCACTCCTCGATCGAATCATACGAATGATATCATACCACTCCTCGATCGAATCATACGAATGATATCATACCACTCCTCGATCGAATCATACGAATGATATCATACCACTCCTCGATCGAATAATACGAATGATATCATACCACTCATCGATCGAATCATACGAATGATATCATACCACTCATCGATCGAATCATACGAATGATATCATACCACTCCTCGATCAAATAATACGAATGATATCATACCACTCCTCGATCGAATCATACGAATGATATCATACATCACTTTCACCTACGATATTCATATATTCCCAACTTGATTTTCTCTGCATAATCGACCGCCTCAAACGCTTCCCTCCGACATACACCACATCTATTCATATCTAAAATTGAATTTCCCAATTCTAAACCGCGGAACAATTTCCAAGGTCGTTTCGCTCCGCCTCTAGTTCAACAAAAATCGGAGCGAATATTATTGGAAAACATATACATACCACTTAGGAAGAGAGCTTGAGAGATTTACAAACCATAAAAGTTTCAATTAGCGAAATCTACCAAGTCAGACGTGAATAATTCTGCAAAGAAAACCTCCCTAGACACGACGCTTTGTGCATGCGTGCAACACAAAGCATAATTGTCTCCCTCAGGGTGCGCCACAAAACAACTGTCCCAATCACTGCTGATATCTATCCCTACTACTATGTGTTGTCACCATCGCTGTGGTATTACACAAATCCGATGCTATGTAGTTGTCCCCCCTACCGCCCTCCACCCTAATCCTGTTGAGCTCTGTACTACTAAATTCAATCTACTACTTCTCCTTTGTGTAAATGTCTTCTTTTTTTATACCATCTCAGATCGAAACGGTCCTTAATTACGAGCAATACATGATACAACAATCACATTCTCCTGCCCTAAGGCTGCGACCATCGACCTCGTCTCTTGATTCCTTCACTCCTCTTGTCCTTCATCCCTCAGCGAGTGTTTAGAACGGCTCGATTCTGCCCAAGCTGCTGTTGCTGCTTTTTCTACATATACTATCTCAACAAAAGGTAAAGCTACTCCAAGCAACTTTATAATAATAATTCTAAGGCCAAGTGTCCTCAACAATTCTGTGCCAATTAAATTGCAATCACATGTGCGGTGACACACTGAACACGTGTCACCATGTCACGAGTTACGTCGTGTCACCACTACTAAAATCCACGCCGATCTCAACAGATACCATAAACAGTATTTTCGTTAACTTGGTAGATGTTGAAACTCTCGCGTATGCATATTTCGATTCGTATACCATCTACTGCCACAACCCGACACTCTACTGAGCTAGCTGAGCAAAGGTGACAGATCTACCATCTATTAAATATTAACATGGTATACTGGAGTTTCACCCGTTTTACGTGAAGTGGCATAATACTCTGTAGAAACCCCGATGCAGTAGCCGTGAAATATGTTTTTCACTAGTGTTTTTCATATCACTAGGGTGATGAAACTCCACTGTTCTCCTCTGCTAGCCGTTCACGTCGAAATACTCGCCGAACATAAAAAATTCCGTGGAAACCCACCACAAGCAACCATACAAACCCGAATGCAATTTCGGCTGTCAACACAACAACACTCCAGCCAGTATAACGAGACATGTCTAATTCGAAGTACTGCCGAGCTTGGACTCCCTCTCCGTCTTCACCAGGCCATACAGGTCTTCCCTGAGTGATATGATGATTTTCATGCAAAAGGAGTTGTTGTGCATTATGTCTTTTCACCCCCCTGTTAAGACACAGACTACATTTACTAGCCCTTTGCGGATCTCAGCGCTAGGTGCCTTCATATATCTATTTATTACGTTGAGTAAATTTCCACGAAACCTTCCACGTTTGCGTTAATCCCTAAATATTTAAACTTTTGAGACAGACAGGAATATCGCGAGTGATGGTATCAAAAATTATAAATCTATTCCAGAATCAATCACGACTTTACTCGTGCATGTTAATGAGCAATTGTGCACATTTACTTGTGCAATTTGACCATGTGCATATTCCCCCTCCCCATACCTTGACTTAGTCAATGTAGGAATATATGTTTGGTTTCCTCAACTGAGCTCGTTAGTTTTCTCACTATATTGTGAAAAACCACACGACTTCGGATAGAAGTGTACAAAAACCTAATAGTTAATTTTCTCATAAGTTTCGAATTGTCACCAACACATGTAGTTGATCATGTGCATAGTTTTCTCAGAATTTTCATATTTTTATCAACACACGTAGTTGATGGTGTGCATGAGTTCCCTTCACACTGACTTTCTCCCCAGCAAAACCAATTCTCACCTCGTGAAGAATTCCGCAGCATAAACGACAACGTTTTCAGGACGATCCTCTAAGGCGCGACGGATGAATGTGCTGATCAACTGTCGTAATTCTGGATGAGCTTGCATGTACTGCTCGTTTGACAAAAACATGGATACCTAAAAAGTGCCTTATCCGGGCCTAAAGTGAATCTTACCATGCTGAACCTCAAGATACGCCCCTCCCCCTCCTCACCTGCTTAGCGTGAAGTTTCTTTTTCTGGTCTTCACTCAACTGAGCCTCCTTAGAGCACAGGTCTGCTACCAACCTCCCAGTTGCCCTCGGGGGCATCTTCTTAGCAGCACTGGTGGATTCCAAACTACCCGACATGTGTGAGAGCAATCTCAAAATATTAATTATCGTCACTGCTACGCAGATTCTTATTTTTGAAGTGAATCAAACAATGATTTTCCTCTAGAATAACTATGCATGCAGAAAAAATCACCACTAAAAAATTTTTTCTGCGGAAATTTGGAAACGCAAAACCAATTTTTTATCAATTCAACCGGTCGGCAAACGGTTCTTCACTTACGTCTCGAAAGAACTATGACATACACTTGTTTGACTATGCTTCGCCGAAAATTACTGTAAGCAATAATAGCTTGTGCACCGATGCGGATGGTCGCGTCGCTCCGCTACCAATTCGCACTGCAGAGATGTAACGGTGAGGCGAGCGGATCCTCCTCGCCTTTCTTATGTCATAACATGGTCACGGACTGAAGAATCTTCTGTATTTTATTCCAATCCCACCCCTCCCGGGAGCAAGTACCATAGAGGGTGCAGACACGCACTGTTGTCGGCACGCTCACTGAGTGTCACTCAGACTCTGTGTCTCTGAGCGTCTTTCCCTCATCGGTACTTCTAGAATCGGTTCGTACCGAACCGCCCCACTAGACCCACGCGACCAGGAGTGGGATATTTAATTGGCAATTTGGTGATGATCGACCATGACCACGACAACGGTGATAATTTCGTGGCGCGTGACAAAAAATCCCAAGACGCGACGACACACTGGGTCCCCAGAGACAACTTAAGAACTGCTCCTTAGGAGGCACCTCAAAAATAGGGAAAATTGTATCGTCTTATCTCTTCCGAATTTCCAACTAGAATTCCCAACGCCCTTTATTACCATAGTAGTGAAACTGAAAACTTGTCGGAGTAGTTCAATAACGCAATCTGCGCCTACTTGACATTTCTCCGGTCGAATCTTCCCTTTCACACTGTAGTGCCTGCCATCGCTCCTCCTCTCACGGTGAGGGTTCTGCTACACTGCTATTCGAAGGTTGATGAACGTTCCCATCGGGCGTTGTATATTCTGCCATTTCAGACGTGTATAGTTTTGTATCCACAAGGAAATCTTTTCCCCAGTTTGACCTTTTCCTACTATGCAGTGTCACCGCCGTGTCACCACACCCCCTCCCCCTCCGCCCTACTGCCTTACCTCTCCTGCAACAACTCCTCTCTACGACCACCCCAGTGTTTCCATGATTGATAGCAGCCGAGATTTCTCTCGTCGAACTCGAATCACCGAGAGACTTCACGACCAGATCGTGCTAAGTCTAGATGACCACGACAGAGCTCTGTGGAGGGAAGCTGAATGGGCAGTCTCGAGTAAAGGGGTTAATCACGGCACAGAGGGATGCTACTACTACCGACATAGCCCTTACCACCCCACCCGAGTAATTCGTAAAATTCCCGAAACTGTCGGAAGTTGCCGATCTGAGATTTCGATGATACCCTTCGGGGTCTTAGCCTGCCTCCAGCTCGACACGATAGAGGAGCCCCCACTACCAAGCCGTCTCAAGCCAGGTAGAAGACGCGTATGCACTAGGTCGACTTCAACTAGTAGTGACTGGGAAAGGAGTACTGAGACCGGCAGCTCCTCTGAGGGGGGCTCCTCTGATTTTTCCGCATAAGAATATGTACTATACCATGTAGCTTCTGCAAGAGGACAGTCTATTTATCACATTAACACCGAGTGAAAGTGCCCTCGGTGTAGTTTCCTTCCATGTACTACTTGTCTTCGTTTCACTGTTGTTCCTGTATTCCGACAAATAGGTGAACTTTATGTAACTTTTGTCGTTGTAAGTAGTAGACTATTGCTGCTGACCAAATGCGATTATTTATTGTACCATTGACGAAGAGGCAGAGGACATTCTGCATAGTTGTTATTTCATCCGATACATTGCAAAGGGAAACGCTTCCCCTCCCCTACTCCTTTACTTACCCCAACACCTCGGTTGAGTTCACCTTTGGAGTTTTCTCATCGCAGTTGGCGTTTTCTCATGTATGGATAATCCCCACATGAGCCTCCACTTCTACGTGACATGATTTCTGGTAGTACTTTTATAATAATCACCAACTGCTAAAGTGAAGGCCCCATGGGCATCTATCACTGCTGTCGGCCTCCCCTTCTCGTTGCAGACAGGTAGATAGTATCGATTTCCACATCGGAGCTAGTTGTCGAGGCAGGCGATCAGCGATAACCCTTACGAAGTCCCTTTCACGATGCTGCTCTTGAATATATAGCTGTGTCTCGGTTTGGTCTGCTATCGTGGACTCCACGATAGCCAGTACTCGAGTAGCCACACTCTACGACGTGGAGTGTGGCTACTCACGTAGGAAGGTCGGTCCGACAGGGGTCGTCTCGTCGGTTCTCACTACTCTCCTAGTGGAAATGAAATCATCCTTTATCGGTCTCCACACATCTAAAGTCACTTTTCTTCTTCTTTTTGCGACTGCCGTGAATACGGCTCTCATCACACCTCATTATGCAGCATGCGGGTTTAATCTCGAAAGCCTTCTCACTACTGATCAACCATAGCGGTTTTCGCGTTTTCATCCAGTCTCGCTTTACCTTTATAGCAGTTTTTCTCCAATATGACGGAGCGTCAGGCGACTGTCATCCGCATACTCGTCGATCCAGCAGCAGCATCATCTGAGTTCGGTGGCCGAGTTCTCCTCACAGGCGAGGAATGCATCAGCCTTGCAGTAGATGAGCATTCTAATATAAAGGCTCACGATGAGCTCATAGGAGATAGTGTAATACTCTCTCGTGGTGGGGTAGAATTGATAAGACCGGATGAGAAAATTTCCCCTAGCCCCAGCGAGTTCTTCAGTGACGGGTCAGAGCAAGAGTTCGATCTGCTAGTTGACAATTCCGGGCCGAGTAGCTCTCGTGGAAGCGCGACTGATGTGAACTACGTGACAATTGATCGCAACACTGGATACGTCCAGGCTCGAAAGAATATATTTTCCCCTGTGGTTTGTGAGGGTCAGCCTCGTACGTCTCCTGAGGTCGTCGAAAGGGTCCTCGCTGAGTCGGGCGAGATGGGTAGGCTATGGCTACTCAGTTTCAGCGAAGCGAATCATGCCCGAGTTTGTGCGGAGCTGCGTCGAATTTTTGGTGTTTCTGGTGCGGTCCCCATCGCGGAAATGGCCTTCCTCGGGACTATTTCGAATCTCCTGACCGGAACTAGAGTAACTCATGATGTGTTCGAGCTCATTTTTGCGAAGGTAGAGGCACGGCGGGTGATTTCGCCGATGCTGGCCGAAAGAATTTTGAAAATGGCGACGAAGGAGAGTTGGTATACAGTGGTGGCGTTGGTGGCACCTTTGCTTGGCCGCGAGTTGGACGAGTCAGAACAGACGGAAATCTTGAATTCGGTGCAGGAGGCTGATAATCTTGAGCTCCTCACTTTATCGCTGAGCATGTCGCCGGAAATCCAGCGTGAATGCGCGAATAAGTTGCTTGGGGGTATCAAAGGCGAACCTTCGGGGAAGCTGATCGGCAGAGTTTGTGAGGGGAACATGACCAGCTGTAGTCTTTTGTTGGAAACTCACACGAGGCTTGTCACGCCCTGTCTGAAAGACGTCCTTCGACAGGATACGACGGCGATCCCTACTAAATTGGGCAGGACAGTATATATGATGGGGTTGAAGAACCACGCGGTGGCCATTGAACTGTGTAGGGTCTCTGGTAGCCTTTTCAATGAGGTTTTGAAAATCATTTACGTGGAGCGTAAGGTCGAGGTAAGGAATGCCGGGATGGGCGGTATGCTCACCGCGAGTCGATCCGGCGACCTTTTGATGGCTATCGTAACGAACTGTCTCCCTGAGCTATCCGATCAGTTGTTGAGTCGGACTGATATCTCTGCGACAGTAGTGTCTATGATGTCCGACTTGGTTGAACCTCTTGATATTGTCCACGACGTGAACCTCAAGCGTTGCCTCGAAGCTTCTATCAATCTTTGCTCGAAACAGCTCGCGCACTGGAGAGCTCTTTCCCGGGCATCTCATCCTGCTGCTGCTGCTGCCCAAGAAGGTCGAAGATCTGTGCCGGTCTTGCTCGCCGAAGCCGGCTTGGCCGACCTCGCCATTTTGTTTCTAAAAAGCGGACCCGTGAGGGGAAGCTCCGTCGAAGGCGCTCTGAATACAATTAACTGTTTGTTTACGGAACTTCCACCAGCAGCAGTTTTCGCGTTGCAACAGGAGTCTCTCCCGAGGGATGTCGAGAGCCTCGCCGGTGACGCTATTCGGAGGTATCCGAAAGCCATAGTTGAACATGGAGACCCGAATGTGCTGGTCCTAGCAGTAGATGCATCGGTGAAGCGAAAGCTGCAGGGAGCATTCCAAAGTTTGCTGCGTGAGATGCCTTCAAGAGTTAAAGAGTTACTCGAGACTAGCAGCGACAGAACTGATGCAGTTCGTATGATGTGCGAGGCAGTTCTATGCGATCCCACACCAGCTTTAGTAGGGATGTTGAGGAAAATGGGCGAGAGTTCGGAGGATTTTGGTAAGACGATAAGGGTGTGTGAGATGCAGCTGGGACTGAAACCTGTGTAACATGACCAATGTGATATCCTTACTATGATGAACACTTCT